TTCAGGCTACACCCACCAGCACACAGTTTGTGCACTTTCCCAAATCCTGTCTTGCCAAGTCTATTCATTAGAGGGAGCAAAAATGATCCTGTGGTTAAACTTGGTGCCCTTACTAGCAATCCTCAGAGGTAACCCTTTCCTCTATATAGAGTTTCTTTTCCTTTTTATGTTCTTCTATGCATGAGATATCATTAAAAAAAAAAAAACTTTCTTTTTAGGAGTCCACTCAGAGGTCCAGTTGGTGGAGTCTGGAGGGGACGTGAAAAGACCTGGAGAGTCCCTCCATCTCTCCTGCCAAGGCTCTGGATTCACCTTCAGCAGCTATTACATGACCTGGGTGAGGCAGTATCCAGGGAAAGGACTGGAATGGGTGGCATACATAGGTACATCCTCATCTCCAATTTACTACTCGGATAAAGTCAAGGGACGGTTCACCATCTTCAGGGATGATTCCCGCAGCCAGATGTTTCTGCAAATAAACAACCTGAAGCCAGAGGACACAGGACTCTATTACTGTGCGAGAGACACAGTGCGAGAAAGTGAATCTGAAGCCAGGCAAGAACTTTCTTTTTCTCAGAGCAGCTCTCCAAATTGATTCAGTCACAGAAAGTTGAATGTGTGTAATTAGAATGAAAAACAGGCAGTAAATCTCCATCACAGCAAGAAGAAACTCAGAGGTGATCTTCATTAGCCTCATTAATACTTGGTTGGGGGCAAGAAGGAAATTACAAGAGATTAAGTGGGAAGTTAAAACAAAAAAAGTTAAAATGTCATTAAAGATAGATGCATGGTTTCATTACCTATATTTCTTCTTTCATATATGATATTTGTACTTCAGCACCCCTTCATTCACACAATATCCCCACTTCTCCTCAGTTTAATTCTTTTCTACCTGTTGTTCCTTTTTCATTTCTTTTACATTAATGATAAAAAATGGACAAGAAATGATAAGAATTATCATCCTATCAAAAGAAAACAATAATGTAACAGAACAGATTTTGACAAATGATCAACCCTGCTTAGCCAGTCTACCCAGAGAAAAAGGAGGGCGAGGGAAGAACAGGCAGCCCCACTTTGAGATGTCCAGAACAGCCTCTTTTGGATGGAGATATGCAGACAGGTCACCTGTTAGGGGTGGTTTCCATTAAATGACCCAGATGTCTTTAAGCAAACCAAAAGACCCAGTAGCCCAAGAAGAAAAAAACAGGAGTCATCTACAACACACAGTGTAAGGACTGTAGGAACCACTATGTAGGATAGACAGGCAGAAGACTAGCAGAGCGCATCCATGAGCACCAACTAGCAGTCAGAAGACATGATGAAAACTCCTTAATTTCACAACACATGAACAAACTTAACTAGAGTTTCAACTGGGAAACTGTCAGCATCTTAGATGAAACTAAATCCAAAAATGCAAGGGAATTCTTGGAAGCTGGGTATTCAGACAAGGCAGCCATCAACAGACACAGAGATAAACATCTACACACTACTCAAAAGAGACCAAAGAAAGGAAAACAAAACCAGAACTTCTCCTCACCAGCAATCATCACCCAGATAAGCAGAGATTAACACCAAGATTACAACCAGACATACAAGCAGTAAATAATATCTTAATCAAGGAACTTCCAGAGGAAAAAAAAATAGAACAAAACAAAACCCCCACCCTCCACCAACACTGACAGGGCATGCCACAGTATATAAACAGAGAGAAAACCCCATTCCATTCTGGCACTGAAGATGTTACCTAGCCAGGTAAAGAAACATTTGCAAGAAAAAAACCAAGCTCAGAGAACTCCAAGGACTCCAGATGTCTTTTTCCAATTCATTTCTTCCATGATTTGATGAGATATATGGAAAAAAAATAAGAATACCCCACCGACAGAAAAGACATTCTGCCGTTACTAACCCTTCAAAAGGGATTTCATCTCAGGTGACAGAAGAGCAGTTTTGGATTTCTCCCTAGACCTGCTTAGATCTTCTGGAGAACTTTCATTTGTTCTCAGCCCCACTTACCATTCTTGAATGCAAGAGTCTTCTTGGAGAATTAGGTAGAGACCTCCCCTCCTCATGTTTTACACCAGCAGGCAGTGTTGTCCCACTAAATCCCATTGCCAATGGCTCCAGTGGGGGTGAGGCAGGGAAATAAAGCAAAAATGATTAGATATTGTCTCTTTTGGAGGCATCATTATTTTTTTCTGTTATTTCCATAAGAGGTGAATGAAAAGGTCTTAAGAAATTTTCATGTCTCAGGAGGCTGCAGCCCTCACCGTGAAGCCACGTCTGAGCAGATGCACTCTGCTATATAGAACAAACTGAATTCTTTGGAAAACGCAAAGGGATTTTTTTTTCAATCCATAGAAAGAGTAAAAGTATTGTGGGTGACATTATTATTATTGTTGCTGCTGTGGCCGGTATTTTTCTTTCAAATTGCATGGCTGTCCGCCATGTTGAATCAACTCTGGGCAATTAACACCCCTCAAAATAGCCAGCCATAAACAGACAGGATATAAAGTACTGTACACACAACCGCCAAGTTAAAAACCCATGTAAGAAACTAAAAAGACCCCAGATGGTCTATCTATTTCTACTTTTCCTGTAATAACTTTGATTCTGACTTTGTGACTTGGACATGTCCATGTAATTGAACAGTGTGTGACAAATTGCATGTTCATTTGCTTGTTTTGGGTTTCTTCAAAAGAACATGTTCAGGGGAATATGGAGCAAACGTCGTGGACTCTTATGTGCCATTCTTTTCATGCTCGGTCTCAAGTATGGCTATTTAAATTTATCTCAGCACATCTTTTCTTTCTCTTACCTTTAGAAGCTTTCCTGAACTGCAGAGGTTTTATCAGAACTTGCTTTACTTTCTGTCCATTCTGCTGCGTACTGACAATAAAAAAAAAATTCCCTTGATTGGTCTGGGGATTTTTCTATTAATTCAACGTCATGTGGGAAAGGTATGTGAAAAGAAATCTATATGTCAATGAAATGAAGGGTTCTTTTATACCAAGGGATATGTAAATCGAGGGTCAATTTCCCCTTTAAAGGAGCCCCATGGTTTCCCTTTTCAGGCTACACCCACCAACACAAAGTTTGTGCACTTTCCCGAATCCTCTCCTGTCAATTCCCTCCATTCATTAGAAGGAGGGGAAAAAAATGATCCTGTGGCTAAACGTGGTGTTCTTCCTAGCAGTCCTGAGAGGTAATTCTTCCCTCTCTGTAGAATTTCCTTCCATTTTTTGTTCTCGTGTCCAGAAGAGCTCATTAAAACACCTTTATTTCTAGGTGTCCAGTCAGAGGTCCAGTTGATGGAGTCTGGAGGGGATGTGAGAAGACCTGGAGGTTCCCTCCGTCTCTCCTGCCAAGCCTCTGGATTCACCTTCAGCAGTGATGAGATGAACTGGGTGAGGCAGGCTCCAGGGAAAGGACTGGAATGGGTGGCAGAGATAAGTACATCCTCATCTCCAATTAGGTACTCGGATAAAGTCAAGAGACGCTTCATCATCTCCAGGGATGATTTCCAAAGCCAGCTGTATCTGCAAATGAACAACCTGAAAGCAGAAGACACAGGACTCTATTACTGTACAAGAGACACAGCGAGAGGAAGTGAATCTCAAGCCGAGCAAAAACTTTCTCTTCCTCTGAGCAGCTCTCCAGCTTGATTTAGTCACAGAAAGTTGAATTTGTGTAATTGGAATGAGAAGTAGCACATAAGTCTCCATGATACCAAGTGCGACTCCAGAACTGATCTTGGAATAAGCTGTGGGCAGCCTGGTTAGCACTTTGGTAAGGGAGAGAAAGGAAATTGCAGGACAGTAGAATAAACTGGGTAGTTTTTAAAAAGTTAAAATTTAATTAGAGGTAGAAATATGGATTATCTACCTTGATATATTTTGCAGTTCAGTCCACTTTGATTCTCAGTATTCCCTACTCTCCTTAGTTTAATTCTTTTCTACATGTTGCTCCTTTTTAATTCCATCTACCTGAATTTACACTTAATCTGCTGATTCCTGAAGCTCTCTCCCCTCAGCTGGGCACAGCCAAGGGAGCCTAATATTGGCAATTACAAAGATCTTCTCCCAGAAGCCCTCTGGGTGTGAATATTTTGGATTGTCGTCCTGCATTAGGGAAGCTGCCTGGGAGTTCCTGCTGCCCCAACCTACCAACCAGGGGATCCCTTGACCTGGCGTCCTCCCCACTGAGCTCAGGGCATGGGGAAAAGTGGATTCCTTCAGCCTCTTTGTTTAACAGGAATTTAAAAAGAAAGAAAAAGGAGTAATGAAATGAATCCTCTGATCTCACCTTGTAGAAATGTACTTTTCAGTATGTGACTAAGGAAAATCAGCCCCACAGCATCCTCATTGAATTGCTAGATTTTTATTTACTCACATGTAACCCTGCCCTTTGTCCTGTGTACTAAAAATTACAAATGGCTGTGCTGACCCTTCCAAAGACTTGCCAAAAATCTCAAGATTCTTTCCAAAAAATCGATAATGTCAATGGATAGACTATCGCTTTTATCCAAAGACATATGTAAATTAAGGGACAATAGAAGATTGTCCTTAATTTAAATGTATCGATTGCATTCCAATTTGGAGAAGGCAAAGTGATTGATTTATGTTTCTCAGCTGTCTGGGAGTATCTTGGCTAGAAACGGATTTCTTGACTGTGACTGTGAGTTGTGGATATTCAGCCATTGTGCTTTGCATATCATTCTCGATTGCTTAATCTGTATCACACAAACTCTGGATTTATCAACTCACCCTATTTTAGAAAAAAAACTCTCATACTTTTTCCTTTGAAATCACCTAGGCCATCCCATTCTGTCTGTAATGTAGCTATTAAACAATTGTTGGTGGGTGCTTGTCAGACTTAGTGTCAAGATTTGAAATGGCACCTAAACAATTACTAGTTTTATTTCCTCTATTGTCCTGACTCTTATAAAGACTTGCCTATAAACTGAAAATAGTTTCAAAGAAATCTATCATGTGAATGGAGAGAGTGACTCTTTTATCCAAAGACATATGCAGATTAAGGGACAATATTCTATTCTATTCTATTCTATTCTATTCTATTCTATTCTATTCTATTCTATTCTATTCTATTCTATTCTA